ACTGTCACAGAACTGGTTACATTGACAATTGGGATTTCTTCCAGCATTATAACAAGTACCAAAAACAAACCTAATACTTCTCATTGCATGCTTGTCTTCACCATCTTGAGCAAACCACCTCGTCGAAAAATCCCAGCCTGTCTCGGCTGCCGATGCAATTTCCGACCACATACGCGTCTTCTCTTCTATATCTAAATGTTGACGGAAAGACACGAACAACAACATACAGTCCATATCTCGCCATCTGATTATCCAGATTTACGTGGCGGCCGTCGACGCCTGATATAGTTGCGTGGATAAGCTTACAGCATGCTATGCCGATTTCCAGCGACGCATTCTGGAAGCAGCTTCTCCACGACATCTATCTGCGGCCGCCACCACGTCAAAGTAGACCCGCCTAATCAGACGACGAGATATGGACTGTACACATTGTCTCCTTTTCTAGTCTAGAGAAAACAATTTCGAAAACAAGAACTGAGAACGTACCATCTCTTTTCAAGTGGTGAACCATTTCGTAATCTTCACGGTATGATTCTGGACGTGGGACTTTCAGCGTCGCTCTATATTGGTAATATGGGAATTTTTCTGTACCATTCTCGTCTTTGTAGATTCGAGATCTCTGTTTTATCCAAAACAGATATTCCTTCTCAAGTGTTGGTAGCACCTCCTGCAACGTGCAAGATACAAAGCGAGAAAACAAACGAAAACATGTTAGCAACTTGATCTTGCACTTTTCACTCAATATCTTTTCTATTTCTTTCTAGAAATGTCAACTGAAGAAGAAAAAGTTGAGAAAAAAGTCAGCAAATAATTTAAATTCGTGGATAGAAAATCTTTTACAAGAAATATAATATAAAAGTCAGAGGTTGCAGGTCAGTAAGGATATCGCAGTGCCGTTTCTCAAGTCGTGCACTCCAGCTATTGCTGAGCATGTGACTCGAAGTGCGAATAAACAAATATCAGAAGAAGGCGTTCGGCGATCCTCGCAACCTCCAGTTTGGAACTATTGTCCCGATTCATGAGCTGGTTTACGCAGACTGACTTGTGGAGGTGGTCCATAAGGAAGAGTTTTCGTATCGTTAGAAGCAACAAGGACTAAAATTGTGATATGCATGCCAGGGTGAATATCGCTTGAGGATTCCTCAACGGCACGTCGAGGATTCTCTGCCCGATCAGAGACGATCTCTCGCGCGGACATTCACACTCGCCATGCCGTGCCGTCTGTGCTCTCCGCGCGGATGTTCACTCTCGGCACTACTCTCGCATGGTAGAGAGCTATGGTCGAGGATTTCCTCGACCGTTATTCACCCTGATGCATGCTCTAGTGGCGCCGGCAGTTTTTCTCCCACATAAGCAAACCTAGAAGAACATCTCGTAAACACCTCCAGAGCGAAAACTAGGTGAAGGGCTTGCAGACGAGCAAAAAACCCAATGCCATTTTTGGGGTGGTGGTTATCATGACAGAACGTGACGTGACGGATATCGCATGATCTGCGTATAATACACAATACCTGCACGTATTGAAATTCTGCATAAAAAGTGCGAGCAACGTTGAAAGAAGTCAAAAATTTGCATAACAACACAATGCAACGAACCAGAACAAAATCTAAATCGCCGGTACCGAGAAAGTAGTCGTACACCATTGGTATTAAGAGCGGTGGCTGGGAACGTGTGAGATAGTACACACGGCCACCATTTGGCACAAACCCATGACTGGAAAAAAGATTTTCAATTAGTCTGTGTTGAGATCTTATCACTAAATAGAAACGTTTCAACTTACTTATCGACCATAAACGCAAGATTTTTAATGATTCCTCTCGCTGTTTCGTACATTTCAGAGAAAATGAGACCTTTCAATATCCAAAACGAATCCCTAAAAATGAACTTTTAATTAAGATGATCATCTTTTGACCGTATTTATTGCAGACTTGAAAGAACTTAATCGGAGACAAATTTGGTAATCACGAAAACCTTACCAATAATAGAATTCCCTGAACCGACCACCTGGTATAATGAAAGGATGAGGTACATATAGAAGAGAATAGTGATCTTGATGTCTACGAACATCATCGCGTACCTTAAAAGAATTATTAAGCTCATACCAAATAAAAACACTCTCACAAATTGCAGCAGAAAGTTCTCAGAATTACTGGCCTCAAGAAAAATTGCAAATTACCACAACTTTCGAATAATCACAAGCTTATAGATACACTATGACTTTCACCAATAACAAAATATAATAACAATTAGGACCACTTTCAAATGTTTGTGAAGAATAACCAAGAACTATGATAGGCATCCCAACCCAACATTTACGACTGAAACAGGTCAAGGGCTGAGGTGCAAATACTACCAGGGTCCCTAAACTGAAAATACGACCCATGAAACTCAAGCATGGTGGATCAAGGGGAACAGCTAGTTTCATAACTTTCTCATTCAACAAAAAAGCAGCTCCCTCCTCCCGCTACCCTTTATAACCCGAGCGACAATCTCCATTTTTGATCGTAAATTCAACTAAATAATCGCGCAGAACGACGAAGCATGCGATCCAGCCGCGCCTAACTCAATTACATGTGATCGGCGTCTGTGTCGGAGAAGAAAAAATGAAGGGATGAGCATCTGTCGTCAGCCAGGCCCCGTAAGGCTTTCAAGTACGACTGCTGTTTGAAACTTTAAGTTCACATTGGGGATAAGGCTATTAAATGGCTCACCCGTCTACATAAATCTCTCCAAATTCGATGTAAATGGAGCGCCCATCTTCGGTGGTGGTAGTCGTGTATATTCAAAAAAGTTGAAGGAAAGTCGACCCAATCACGAGGAAACCATTCCACGAGTTCCGATCCCGGAGGATTAAAATGAGAATTGACAAATTCTCTAAGTACAGCAATATCCTTCGCTTTATCGCCAAGTTCGTCGAAGTTCCTCAATGTCGCAACTGAAAATAACTTATTTAATGTTCCAACTAAATAAGCGACTGCATATGTGCCAATATCCCGGAACGCCTGACTAATTCAGTTTTGATAACAAAAACATAAGGAATCTTGGTAAAGCTAGCCCGAAGCTGAGGCTAATCTATAGTATTTCCAGCGAACCACGACAAATTGTTCAAATGACATCAAGTAACGGGATATGCTTCTGGACTCTTTGATGGCGCGTAGTTTGGTATTTCAATTGATTGACCTCCAAAAACCCGCAAACCCTGAGGTTAGCTCAAATTTACCTAACATGAGGAGCGCTGTTTCACCCATAAACTTTACAAATTAAGGAACAAGCAGTCAATGCACTATTGTTCTTGCACCACTCAACAACCACCCTTTCACATTTCAAAACGACCCTCCGCAATGAAGAGTCTACAGCACGTGTCACTCATAAAAGCTATCAAAACGACTAGAGAAATCAAAATGCAATAAAATTATGCATTTGCCATAAATTGGATGCTTATCGGTCGATCCTTCACTTTTTTGTTCTCCTTGGTGCACCAATGATTCAGCGAGACTACAAAGGTTCAGATCGCACTTATTGAGTGATTTTACAGAAAACCACTTTCTGAATTCACTGCATGCTCAGCCTATGCTTTTAATGACTTATGAAACCCAACATTAGAGAAAATTCCCTTCGTACTACTACTTTTTCGACCACGATCGTTAATTCACTAACACCCATTTATGGCCAAATTTCCAAAGTTTCCACTTTCGCATATATGAGTTGTATAAACTGGCTGAAAGGAGGTCTGCATTAAGGTAGTTGTTACCACGACGATGCGGTTTTATAGGACTTGAGGCATTTGAAAAAGTCGAGCTTTGTCGAAAAATCGCAAAAAAAAAACACCATAAAACTTGTTGGGCCCAGAAGTGTCAGTTCTTACTGTTAAAATGTAACAGTAATGGCCATCCTTTTCGTCCAACTTAGTCAGTCCAAACTAGCCAATGCATTATTTCGATCCAATCTCATATTAGTTTTGCAATACATATTGTCACCTCTCTTATCTACCATGGCAACCAGCTTGGAAGCCTCGCCGCTCACCTTGCTTTTCTTGTTCTCTCGAGCAGGCACTCCATCTTTTCGAACAACGGGCGCAAAAGAAAAAAACCAAAAAGATTGCACTCTTAGTTTGTTTACACTACACTTCATTAACTGAGAAGACTGCACAATCAGCACTGGCACCTCGCTACATCAGCCTCACCTCTTGCGATGACACCACGATGACGACGATGACAACTACAGGACACCCCAAGAACTAATTTGCACAATTGAACTCTAACTGCTAATCAATTACCTCACTAGTCTATGACCTTAGCCAGCGCCTAACCCTTTCCTAACTCGTTTAAGTTCACGTAGCTGTCCCTCTGTTGATACCCATTTCTTCTAACACACCAAACATTCGTAACCATTTCAAATGTGGTACGCGCCAAACATGTGAGGTGACCAAAACAGCCCCTCCAAAAATTAAAATCAAATGAATATTATAAGTACAATATTTCCATCCAATCAATATTTCCACCCCATATATCATGCTTATATGCCAGTCTTATGATTAATGTTCAAATAACGAAAACAATCTGAATCCGATAACTGTACATCGCCTACGCATCGCTAGCGCCTGCGATCTCACGTCTGGCGGGGGCGTGCCCATACGTATAAGCAAAGAACAGATATAAACAATAATATATGCCTCCTATTGCAGCCATACAATAAAGGCGTTCAACTCTTCTTTGCGTACATATTTTCTTCCTCACATTAAATCCACTGAACCACTGCGAGGTGATAATAAAAGGGTCCAACATAACCCTAAGTCTCTAGTCACCCGCAACAACAGGTTGGTGACCCCGCCTGTGGATCGCAGTTCGAATAAGGAAGGAGCAATCGACAACTGAACAACTTATCGAATAATGATAGCGAAGGCAGGGAATAGAATGCTGAAGCGTCCGCGCAGATCAATCTATCTGGAATGGAACACGCCGCTTTACGAAATCCACTCCAAATTGTAGAATTTGGAGTGGATTTCGAGGGCGTATTTGGAGTTGATATTATGGCTGTACATTGACTGGTCCCATATGAAACTCACTCGAGCCAGTAGCTCGAGCTTGTACCAGCCTCTATCCTCCACAGACACACTCTGCTACCAGTTACGGACTCAAAAGGGAAAAAGCTTGCTTGGCTTCGATGATCCAACCCAAGAAGGGGGTCCCTGAGATAGAGCGAGTGACAGTTGTGCTACTAAACCCATCCCACCTTACAATGCAGACAAAAATCGCTCATGTATTACCAGAGCCAGAAGACAAATTAAAAATGGATAAACAGAGTTTTTAGATCAGTAAGCGTGTCCAACCACAGATCGAAACCAGTGAAATTTCGTGGAAATTCGGGTACTATTTCGCGATATGCCGAAGGCAACAAGAGAGACTCAGATAAAATGAAAGCTGTTGAGGCCTATAGAAATATGAGGCAGCGCTACGTGCGAGAGGAAAGCTATCGTGACTGTATGAAGATCACTCCCTCCCTCAACAATTAAAAGCCCAACGTAACAATCCCTTCCTCATTCTTCTGCTCTCGACCCTTTCGCCTTCACCTTCACTCCTACAGTAGTAGCGACGTTGGTAAGATGCACTTGCTATTTAACAATGATTTAAGAGTTGTGCTGTATTATGCTACAATTTTCAATTGAACTGAAGTATGGCTTATTCTGAAACGTTATCAGCAAAGTTTTGTGGAGAAAATCTTTGATCTATATCTATACTGATTGAATAGGATGACCTGTTGAAATGGGGATACCATTTACTATGAAATTCACGCTGTATAAAGGCATCCGTCTATGCGCATCATCAGACTTTATATCGCAGGGCAATGGGCTAGACGAGATTTTTGTGGGAAACCTTTCGCCAAATTCTTCTGCGAAGCAGAAGCAAACCCTTGTCCTACGTCCTCACCATCATCTACCTGAAGCATCCGCCATCGCCGACGAAATCAATAAAGCCTATTAAACTGATTCAGTCTGAAACAGCCGCGCAACTTTCGCGGCGGCTAACTCATTGGTGAACGGCTTCCTAGAGAACATGAATTTGATTGTGTAAGATAATTGTTCATCATTCTGCAGTGCTAGCAACATCGCTAAAGCCCACGATCCGAAGGTCACTTGAGCGGAGTTGGCCGCTGTTGAACGATAAAACTTCTTTGATTGAAAAATGGATGTTTGTAGAGTCCATGCAACGATCACAATGCGCGGACAAGTGAGAAGGACGACTTCCTCAGAAGTATCATCTCTTTTATGTATGGGTGGAGCTACAAAGATTGTGTAAACAGATAAAGGTTTTAGAATTATTCTAAACCCGAACATTGCATATTTGGCCACAGAGACTTCTATATGGCGAAGTTCGCGTGAACACTTTCCATGGCATTCGCAATCATTTAGACTGCTCCAATGAATATTCTGATGGGCACCGGTTAAAGCAGCAATATATGATTGACTCATTGTTGTATTAGAGAGCAAAAGTGGCTTTTTTGCTATCCGATTCTCCTTGTCATCCACAGCAGTAGTAACGCAGGGGAGAGACGGGTCTTTTTCACGAGCCACTGAATCACCCGACTCCTTCCTCTTCTCATAGAGCTATTTAACATTGAACACCTTCAAACGACAATGACTACTCATGAAGATAGCGTCACAACGCGTATAACATAATTCCTAAAGAAAAACCTCCTACGATGTTCGGAGACACAAGGAACGAACTTCAACGAAAGGCAAGCAGTCTCTACAAAGCAAAACGAATGCGCATTTCGGCAAACGCGCAAATGAGTATCCTCCGACTGCGGCCTAGCAGGGCCGACCCGGCCATCCCGCTACCCCACCCACCGACTGCAAAACGCAACGAACCGTCAGATTCTAGGCCGGCTACCTGCATGCTTTAGCGAGACGCCAGAGCAGTACGGCCCACTCGAGGCGTCGGCACCGATAAACTTGCTCTGATACAGATCAATTTGCTAAAAGGGTACAGGTCCCCATTTCCGGATACCTAATTCGCGTTCTTGGTTTGCTATCATGTCACCACTATTCCTTAATTTATAATCAGCTGCTTTAACGTAAAATTCCGCTATGGCCATATCTTTCAAGACACAAGGGAAGATGTTAGTAAGAGCTGTAGAGTTCTATGATTTCCTCAGAAAAAGAGTACATGTGACCATTGTGCATTCTCTATTGATGCATCAGCGACTGATTCGATGGACTTTTTACACGTTCGGCCGTCTCATCGACACATTCCACTGTCAATCACTTTGACGAAAATTTCATGCATGACCAAATCACAGTTCACTTCCCAATTAAGGCATTTATGTTGCAATGGCTTTCTCAGAATGGAATACAATTAATAATACTACTTTTGAAAGAAGTTGTCCCCCTCCACTTGTGTCATCACTCTGTGCCAAAATTTAAGAATAACGGCTTGTTTACTGTGAAAGAGAGCGATACGGTGAAAACAAGTGATCCCTCAAAACCAACCAATTAATAAATTTAGAACTGGATTCTCCATCACAAATCCCTAAAATAGGCGAGAACTTATAGATTGGATGATATCCTTCCTGTACGCCCTATCTAAGCAAAGCAATTCAGTCCGTCAACCGAAACGAAAACCTGCTTGCTTTCGTTGCCCGTCCGACATTCATCAAATTCTACTGAACAACATAGTCCATTCCCCATCCCATGACATCATTAGCAATCTTCGAAGGAAATTTCCAGTTGTTTTTGAGCCCTTTTAAGGGGCCCACAAACCACGTGCAACATGCACGTTATACTTTGTTCCGTACGTTCCGTAAAAACGGTAAAATGCTCGCATGAAGCAGTAGGCCGCCCAAGAAAATTACTGAACTTGATTATAGTTGGTGTTGCCGAAAAGAATTTACTGATTCAAGACCCATACGGACTGGAACTGAGTCGAAAGAGTACGTCGACCCTGTTTTCCACCACAAAAGGATCGACATAATAGTTCCTTCACATATACGGGCATTAATCCGCCCAACGCTACGACCCAACTAGTCTTTTGTGACTAGGGAACACCAACACACAGCTGTCCTCTGATTCAACCTTTCTCAAATAATACATGTGATACACTAAAGACGTGCCTACTAATCGAGAGAAGATGTGAAAACATCATGAATTCTGATGCTCAAAGTGATCCACAGCAAATGAGGTCTTATTGTTATTCCAAAAGAAACATCGCTTAATACAGATTCTACCAGACTGAAAAAGTGGCATGAGTGCCGCTATGGCGTCTCCGAAGGGTACGCCAATTATCTTTAAGGTCTAGTGCCACAGGCCAACAACGAAGAAACCTAAAGAGTAAGCAGTTCAACATGACAGCCTCCCAAGAGAAACAGCGTCGCCTGTTGACCTCCCAACTACTGTTTATTTGGAGAACCCCTCGATATCAGTTCGATAGATACTCTTGAATCAATCTCAAGAAACACGCTAGCGACGACTAATTGAATGAGAACGCGTAGCACTTGTGATGAGCAGCCATTTTCCGCTCAAAATATAGGCATTTGAAGGCACAAAATAATGGCAAAATTCGATTGGAGTTCTCTCAAACCCCCCGTATCTGCTGAACCACGTACATAGACTTGACATTAGCACGAAGGCATGATGGATAGCGACTTGCTGATTTATGCGTATGACAGCGCGTCCGATCATTGAGTCGCACCAATTAGCTGAGCATCAGTCAAACAATGATTGGTTGGCAGATCAGCTAGATCCATTTTCTGTTCCCATTCGTGACACTATCAGTATCTTTTTGTCTCCAGCAGAAGACAAAATTTAGTCAGCCCCGCCAAATCGGAGAAAAAATTTAGGTTCATGTCCGCCAATCGTTATCAAATTCTTACAAATGTTAGCCCCACCTCACTAGCCAAAGCCTTTGTAATTCACACAATGAGATTCACGCAGTCTCTACCGTAACGAAACTTTTGGTATTTTGCGAACAACTGAAGTGAAGCACACCATCCTCACGGAACCTTTCCTTATAAATTAACGGAAGCTTTGATCATAAACTGCGATAAATGGTAATTTCCAGTTCATGGAAAAAAGCGATAAGTGCAGTTCCATAAACCATCCACTCCATCCTAGATTTAAAAACTTCCCTGATCTAAGCAAAACGTGATAGTATTGAACTACCAAACAAAAATGATCGTTATTAAGTACACTCTTACATAACCTTTCGAATCATTCATCACAATGGCGAAAGATCCTAGTTTCTTTCAGTAGTTCCGTTCAGAGGACTTCAAGAGTTGACGCAGGACCGTCGAGTGAATACATTCTTATGCAAACACCGCAAAAACGCGACAATCACTCGAATGCACCCTTTGAAGAATGACTGGTTCAGATGCGTTCTCTTCCATGAAGCGATCATTTAATACCAGACGATAACGATTATTCACGGGAATGTCATGAGCGTGAAGGCTACTCAGTGATCAGTGAGCTACTAAGACAAAGGCAATAAAATAAACCTGTCCATCAAAAGAAAACAGAAAGCTGCGTTCAGAGAAAATGAATTATTGTTGGAGTGATGGAGGGAACTGAAGTTCCAATTTACTCAAGGCGTCAATTTGAAGGCTAAATAGAAATGAGTACAGGATATGAAGAAACAAGACGATAAAAAAAAGATTTTGCAGAACGTTATCGGTCCATGTCATCACAGGCAGACAATACCGTTCACTTCCAAATTTAACAATCCTAAATTCTACAGGCTTTACATCCATGATGCTAATAAGGCGCGGTCAAGCATTTTCATATTTTATCTGCATAGCAATCTAAGATGATTATGAATCGATCATTCGAGCTGTCTTTTGAGTAGCATGGGTTCACCCCACTTTAGCAAATTAATTTGAACATCTTTGGATTTCGATGATTGATCCACTCGGAATGGTCCATGCATTTGAATTCCTTTCAAACCATAATACCGAATCGCGAGTGCCCAGAGAGTATTTAGGTGCCATCCAGGGAACAAGTAATTGTTTTCATGCTCCAAAGCCCATCTTCAATTGATAACCCTTTCCGTGTAAGTGAAAGGCCTACTGGCTTAGGGGCATTCAATTCGAGCTCGATTTCCAATAAAATTATTGATTTTGTATATAAATGAACCATTTTCAAACCATAACTTGCTATCTGTCACAATGCTGTCCGCTTCCAACCGAAACTATTCATGCCAACACGTGCCGATGGGAAGTTCTATACAACCAGCGAAGCCCTGCACTAGTTACAAGCTCGACATCGCTACTTTTTGGAAACATCGATTCCAGTGTGAATGATCTCCTCGGATATAGAGTTCCTTCGAATCAGTTTCAAGAATGCCGCAAAAGGAAGGGCCGGTTGTTGCATTTATATACACTCCGCTAAGGAAAAAGGAAAAAACCGCTCTACTTATAGAGGCACCTGACACATAGGATGGACCCTGGCGTGAATATTTCCATGGAGATTGGTTCAAGTACGTAAAATCGGCATTAATGGAATTCCCGTATCATAATGATGACCTATTCTATCACAAGTGTTATCAGAGGCTAAATGACTGATTTATAAACACGACGTGATTCTTTTCACAAGTAATTAACCAAGAACAGTATTTCGTATGACCCACTCCAAGGATGTGATGACCCACACATCTTTCCAAAAGGAAAAAGACTTGTAACAGATGAGTTCAGAATCCCCTCAAATTGCCTCATTTGCGACCGGAAATTCATGCGAACGCCTGAGCAGCGCATGTGGCTCACATGACATCCACGTGATAGGTGCACTGCGCACCCAAGTACGCAGCTGCCCAGCGGAACAAGCTCCGCTTTTAGTCGATAGTCGAATCGAATGAGGACTCTTCTAATGGAAAGCGAAATTAAGTCGAAAACATACTTGGATCGAATTTTAACGACATGTCGACGAAATGCTTCGAATCAGGGAACATAAACGAGTCCTGGACCGTCCTAAGTATTGGTCCATCGCAGTAGATTGGGCTAAACAAAAAAAAAATCAATATTCAAGTCGAAATACTGGATTATAAAGCTAGGTTCAGGCACAATGAAAAGCTAAAATGTACCTGAGTACAGATAAAACAGTGTAGAGCATTGCCTAGCGACAAGTAAACTTTCACTCCACCGCAGCGATTTCTATATCGATGTCATGAAACGCTCCTTAACAACAATTGAGAGTCTGCAAAGAAAGCGTATTGTCGTCCCAAGAAACGAGAGTAGTTACTTCAAAGGAACGATAATAGTTGTTCGAAAGAACGAGGGTGGACTAAAGAGCGCATCGACAAATCAACGAATCGATGGCGCACGCTAGAACTCCCAAAACTGCAGCAAAAAGGAAAGAGAGCAAAAGGGACATTGGTACAAGTTCAGAATAACCACTAGTCATTCACACCGCTCTTCAACGCAGCGCAGCAGACTTTTTTCACAACAATATAATAATAAGTTGCAGGCAATATTCAGTGAAGCAAACGTAGAAAAGTCCCCCGAGATTGATTTTGCAGAAGACATACCTTATGCAGCTTTGAACTTGCTAACAACCTCAGTGAGTCGATCGACGTACCCGTACCACAAGACAGAGCAAATGTGAGGAAAACCGGTTACTCACGAGGAGGATAATTAAATCATGCACACCACCCCAAATCAGAAAACACATACATATCTAATCATACGCACAGTTCTACTCAAGATATTAGTGTTAAGAAGCCACGAGAGTTTTATGAAGACTCCGCCTTCGCAGACTACAAAGAACGTTCAAACACTTACAATAGCAGACCAACCGGCGATCGAACACACCTTTCGTCACATGAGGATTTCGCGAGATGTTGGGATTCACGCTCTCGTTCATGTGAACCATTTCACAGAATGTACGCAAGCGTGTCCAACTTTTTGGACACATGAAATCATTCTCACAAAATTGAAACCGTTTGAAAATGTCCAGAGAAGAGCTTGCACGTCCCTTTCTCAGCAAAAAGATCCAAGAACTCGAAATACCGTGGGGGTTGAGAGGTAGAAGTCAGATTCTCTTTGTATGCCAACAGACCCATGAATTTTGATTGAGAGATAATTCAAAAAATCTCGTTCAGGATTGGCAATAAGCGTAAAATTGGCTTATGTTGGTCGCAAGCAAAAAACATCAGCAGTGAACAATAAAGTTTCCATGCATCCTTGATAGCATTTGAGAAAAAAAAATCGAGAAACTTGGCTGAAGTCTCCTCTCTCACTAAAACATCAAGGAGGCAAAGGATACAGATCAATCAAATTAAAACAAACGAGTAACTCGGGACCTCACAGAAGTTTCAGGGTCGATTGGCACATGGCCTGAGGGCTACAGCGAGTGATTTTGCACATAAATTTTGAGCACATGAGTGCCCTTTTAACTTCAGTGATTCGTAATCAAAACACTCCCTCACACCCGATAAATAAAGGGTACATATGCTGCGATATAACAAGAACTCCTAGACGATGATATTATATTTGAACGACTAATTGACTTCGCTAATGTTCGTGTTCTAGACGAATTAAAACTTCACAGAAAAAGATCAATGTGGGCAGGTTCGTGCGTAATCACATTAGACAACGACCAATCAAGAGGTAAGTCAACGCGGAAACAATTCACATCCAATTTTTTCTCCCGAACTACACTGACATCACAGCCAACAAACGAGCAAGCAGTTTGGAACAAAATGGATTTTGAACATTATCGTTGTTTGTTCAGATGATCATTAAACGATCTCTGTTCCAGTCAGTCGCTTTCTACCGTTTATATGACCGCTACCTGTCAAACAGCATTGCCAACAAAAGTAGATTTGCCAAAAAGACTAATCGCACAGTTTCCTAATCCCGCTTACACGTTCCTAAATCTTGCCGAAGTGAGATCCTTTGAAATTCACTTCCAGGAACGAATATCGAAAAATGTGAAGCAGAAAAATAGCACACTAAACGAAGCAGATGAGCTTGCTTCTCAGAACAGGGAAGGAGCTTTCATCTCAACATCAACTGAATCATCCCCAGATTACAGAAAAAGAATTGAGATAAG